CTGGTACAGTTTTGTTTTGTGGACAATAATTAAATTTCGGTATCGCCCACTCATTTTTGTCCTCTCATTTTTAATGTTCATCACCAAGAAAAATCCCTCATAAGGGTTTTGAGCATGCGGTGCGTTTTGAACCCTTCAAATCTTTCAAAATTAATTTACAAGTTTTCTCTTTTGATTAGTGTATGACTAATTGTATTTCTTAAAACAAATTCATACTAAATTGTTTTATTCAGGTTCTCAATGGAGACGATGTTGAAAGGATGCAAAACGGGCAAAATAGTATCACATTTTTTCATCAAGATACTGTTTTGTTCGTTTTCATTCAGAATCTTAGTCTACTAACTTTTTTAACTACCTTCATTATTTATCAAACCGTACCAACTATTCCAATTGTTTTTCTTTTTTTGATTCAATACCAAATATTATTAGTTTAGGCCAATCAGAATTTCAATATGATAAAACTTTGCTTAATCAACCTTCCATAACACGAAACTGCGGTTGAAAAACTAAAAGCAAAATACAAAAGTATGACTGAAACTTCTTAAAATTAATAAGAATATACTTTAGATTCGTAAAGGGTCGTCTAGTTAAGAACTTAGGATTTGGTGGCGTAATAGTTAGGGAAGTTCAAATTAATACCAAAAATACATATATATATTTTTGTTTGAATCCCATAATTCCAAATGATGCATCATGCAACCAATCATCATGGACCATTTTGTAATTAGACCAAATGTCCGGAGACTAGAAAACAAAACTTGCATCATGGACCATTCGAGTAAATCTTCATATGACCAAGTTACCCACCCATCTGGATTTTCAGTTTTTTTTTTTTTTTGATAAAAGGTAAACATCATTATATAATGAAGGTTTAGATATTACAAAGTTAATCTAAGGTCTATATTATCTTGCCAAAAAAAGATAAAAAAACAAGCTAGTATAATTTTGGTTTTGGAACATGGATCATAAGATCATCTTAGCCAAAGTTACATTAGGTTGGTTAAGAACTTCCTATGTCTTCTCGCCGAAATAGAATTGATAACCTCCCGGTAGATTGATTTGTAGACGATGCTCGCCGGGATTGAGGTTAGGTTGTGCACAACATTGTTGCGTTGCTTCCAAATGTGAAAAACCGTAGATTGAACCACTAGCTTTTGCATGATAGTAGAGGCCCTTGTCGATGAGTTTCTGATCCATGAGAGTAGCTCATCCCAAGTTGTGAACAGGTTTGAATTCCGATTAAGACCAGACAAAACCAATCTCC